AATTTCAACATTTACTAATACATAGTAATTGTATTTAAAATATTTTTAATGGACCTGAGCTGACATGAAGTAACATTGAACTAATGTTAACAAAGATGAATAAATATTGTGAGAAATATATTACTCATGTTAGCAGTGTTGGGGAGTAGTTAACTACAAGTAGCGACACTACTAACTTAACTACATTTTTCAGTAGCTTGGCTCAGTTGCTTTTTAAACAGTGTAGCTTTTCCAGTAGCTAACTACTTTTTGCAGCAAGTAGCGGTGTAGCGCGAGCAAAAGCTACATTGCGTTTGTCGAGCCTGCGCGAATCAGCCCGATGCAAGGATATTCTTCATCTTGTTAGATTACAAACTCATTTTTTGCCATTACCGCCACCTGTTGTTTAATCACGCGTCTTGCGGCTAACGGTTCACTGACGTAAAAAAGTGGATTGACAGTGACACACCCATATTATGATTATGATGGAGCCAGAGGTGACGGCAGACTTGGATGATGGAGAAACAACTAAAGTTAATTACCCATGGCCTTATTTGTCCAAGTTCAATCGGTATTTTTGAGAAAATGTTCTAAATGCAATTTATGTTGAATGTATATTTAGTTCTTGCAATGTTGTAGGCTATTTGTTGCAATTTTGCACTTTTGGCAAACAGTCTGCGATATTTGAGTGTTGTGTGTAATAAAACAATACTCTATGAAATCATAATTGTATTGCATTGTTTTAAACACTAAATATTTTAATTAAAACATTCATCAGACACTTATTCAGTTATTTATAATATATAATTTATAGCATGTTATAATAATAATATGTAATATAATATTTATAATATGTTGTTCAAAAAGCAAAAGTAGTTTCAACGTAGCTAGCTATTTTTTGATAGTAACTTGTAGTGTAGCTAGCTACTTTTCCAAAAGGGTAACTTGACTGTAGTTTAACTACTTTAACGTACGAGTAGCTTGTAGCTTGTAGCTTGTCAAACTACAGTTTCAGAGTAGCTTCCCCAACACTGCATGTTAGTTAATCTTAGTTAATGCATTCGTAAACTAACCTTAAAGTGTTACCTCAATTTTGAATCACACTGATATAAATTTAATGAATACATTGTTCAATATTAAATGAAATGCACATTTATTTTATTAATGCAACAATATTACATGTCTGGCTGATAACTATTATGTCATGGTCTATAACCAATAAATGGCCTAAAATAAAATTATGTCCAACTTTGCCTAAATAAATTACAAATAAAACACTAAACTTTTAAAGTGAATAACCTCATCACTGGTTTATTTATTTCATCCTTGGCTTGTTTTGCCATATACAGCAATAACATTTTACAATATTCCTGTTTTTACTGTATGTTCGATCAAATAAATGCAGCTTTGGTGAGCAAGAACAGTACTGTGCATTATAAAATGCATTATGTACACGTTAAAAATACTCAAAAAGTTGCATTTCTTCTGTTGTTTCTCCATAAGAAAAAATAACAGAAGTCTCCGACAATGACAGAAACAAACTTGAGTGTGGACGTGACCTTTCCTAAACTGTATTCGTCATACTCTCTTCCTTGAATTTGCCTACTTTCCGTTTCTTTTCCTCCCTCACTTTCACTCCAGAGCTCATGCTAACAGTCACAGTGAATCCATCAACATTTGACAAGTGCAGCCATCCAAGAGAGAGTGAGCCTGACGTGGCCCCCAAAAGATTGCTCTTTAAACGCAATGTTTTGCCAACAAACTTTACCAAGCTGGAACACATTAAGGCCAAACTGGAGAGCTGGAGGCACAGGAGGAGTCAGTTGTTTGCTAAAGCACTCCAAGTCCATTACTGCCTGCCTCCAAAAAGAAGTCATACATAAGTTGATGGGTTATGATGTGAATAGATGTGTTCTAACCTTTTTATTTTTGCTCTGGTTGCTCTTTTGCATTTTACATAAAATCTAATTTTGAGCAGTGAAGAGGTTCACTCTGCTCATAGGCCATCCATCTAGCCTTCTGTGCCTTCTGACCCCTGTTAATGTAGCCTTTAGTCATAGAGATGATGAAACCATTAGAAAGGAGAGTCTGAGCTTTGTAGTCTCTGCAGATGTGAGTTTATTTATCCACAAAAAATCTAAAAGGATGCTCGAGGGCTAGTAGTACTGGGCATGTGAAATAAAAATGTTTATTGTTTTTAATATTTCAATTTCAAACAGAATGTTATTATACTACCATTCAAAAGGTATAAGAAAAGAAAGTAATAGGCCATTTGTATTCATCAAATACCCATTATGTTGTAATATAAATAAATAAATGCTGTTCTTTTAAAAATATCATGGTTTCAACAAAAATATTAAGCAGCACAGCTGTTTTCAACAGTGATAATAATAGAAATGTTTTTGAGCATCTATTCAGCATGTTAGAATGATTTCTGAAGGATCATGACTAAAGTAATGGCTGCTGATAATTCAGCTTTACCAGGACTACATTTTTTTTTTCAATATATTATAATAGAAAATTATTAGACAACAGACATTCAACTGACTATAAGTAACTTGGCAACAACAAGTCCACATACACCCAACACCAAACCATAACCTAACAGTCTACTGACAGTCTGCTACAGAAGAGTTAGTTGACATGTAGTTGAAAAGTTACATAGTTTATAGAATGTTCAAAGTGGACTATCAAAATAAGTGTAACCATAATATTTCATTATGTTACAGTTTTTATGTTTGTAAATGAATAAAATATGTAAATAAACACAGCCTTGGTGAAAACAAGACATGTCTTTCAAAATCATTACCGACCCCAAACTTTGAATGGTATTGTATATAACAATCAATCAAATTAAATCACTGAATATAGTTTAGGGGTAAAAGTCTGACCATGACTATTAGCTCTAAGTAACACTCAGCTTTGGCTTGCCACCCATATCATTACCCCCGTTTTGCCTTAGAGCTAAAGTTATGTCTCCACAACAGCAAGAGGTCACACCAGACCCATAAATATGTGTATGTGTCCATGGGTGGTCCATTTATTAGCTCCAAGTAATACCTCATCCCAAACTGAGCCTCTGTGTCAGAGATTTTGTTGAGCAAAGTTACCTCTTAAAATGAATTCTGACCAACAAACCAAAAAACATCCAAATAGTTTAATTCATATTTATTGTATTCCTTTATTACTGTATAAAAGGCTGATGTTAACCTCCCAGGATAGTCTACTCCAGAATATTTATAGACTTCCAATAGGTCTATATTCATTAAATCCTATTACAGGAAGTTCAATGACTGAAAGTCAATGTTTGGATTGTACTGTAAGGTTGAAAATCAACAAAGACACTTGCTGTCCTGTTCCAACCCCCTTTTCCTTACCAGAAGGGCCATTTGGAATTCCTAAAGGCACAAGAAGTGCTGATAAATGATCAGGGCTCGTAGGCCAAGATGTGTACATCGGGGGTCTGTTTTTCATCACACGTATGTATGGCACATGTAGTATGGCAGGGCCGGAGGGGAAGATGTCTGCTGCTGATTGGTCAGTTTGAATGTCTCACTGTGGGTTCAAGCAAGGGATATAAGAAGACTGTATCTGTTGCTCTGCCTCTTCTTTTCTCTGGGCTTTTCTCTCTTTTCATTGTCTCTTCTTCTTGGGGTCTTTGCTCTTCCTGTACTTGAGCACAGCCTTCCATCTCCCTTTTTCTCCCTGGATTTTCTCTCTCTCTCCTATTTCCGTCGTTGGTATAAGTCACAGTGGTTGGTAATAGGGAAGAAATGTACAGTTTTACACTACCCTATCTCACGACCAATTCGTACGAATTCGTACGAGTGATTCAAAAGTGGCTAATTCGTACTAATTCATACGACCTCACTCGTACAAATTTGTACGATTTGTCTAAACCCATGTGACGGTTATGTTTAGGGGCGGTGTCAGGGGTAGGTCATTCGTACGAATTCATACGAATTGGCTAATTCGTAAAATATGTACGATTTAGCTAAATCGTACTAATTCGTACGAGTGAGGTCGTACAAATTGTTACAAATTAGCCACCTCGTAAAATTCGTACGAATTCCCGTGAGATCGGGTTGGTTTTACACCATCATACTGGTAACGTTTCTTTAGTCATTTGGCGATTCTGCAGCCTATAGTTTCACTGTAGTGAAACCACCCTCACAGCATAAGGAACATAAAGGGCATGTTGAGCCAGAAGATCCATAACAACAAAGTTTTAGTCAGGCCTGAGTGGAGTAAAGAAGCAGCAATCTAAGGCCCCGTCCACACTACTGCGTTTTCGTTTAAAAACGGAGAATTAAAACGAATACGATCTCCGTCCACACCAGCGTTTTATCTGGGTATTAGAAATGATCTCCGTCCACATTAAAACGACTGAAAACGCGGATCACGTGACCTTTCACCAACACTGGGCATGCGTGTGCCGGTGTAAACAGTGAATGACGAATCAGGGAAGGATACGTCATGACTGATAACACCCAATCATAGAGCTGAGCGGGAGCCTCTGCGTCATTGTTTATAAACACCTCCGTTTTGTCCCGTCCATACTAAAACGCCCACCGGAGATTCAAAACGCAAAACGGAGCTGCAGCGTTTCTAAACTTCTCCGTTTTAGGTCTTCGTTTTTCCCGTTTTAGTGTGGACGGGAGGTGCAAACGAAACGAAAACGCAGTAGTGTGGATGGGGCCTAAGGGTGCAAGTATGAACATTTACTAAGCCCACATCAACTAATCACTTTTCTAAACCTCACTTTCACACACACACAATTTATTGCCCTACATCCACAGACAACACTACATCACAACTACTTCCAGATATGTCCATCCTCAAAGACATAAAAGCATGACTCTTTCTGAGCAATATCTAAATTTAAATAATTCAAGAAAAATAAGCTTTCAATCACACAATTCCAAAGTTGAGTTACTAAAATGCAAGGTATACAAATAAAAGGTCATCCAAGAAAGCAAAAATCCAGAAGATAAAGGGAATGAGAACCTCTGATGGCCTACCTGGAGCAGCTTGTATCTCCACTAGGCCTCCAACCGTGATAAGTGCCTCAAGAATCTTCACATGGTGTTCTGGGTTTACATCCGCACTGGAGCGAGAGAGCGAGAAAGAGAGAGAGAGAGAGTGGGAGAGAGAGAGAAAGTAAATAAGAAAGTATATATTAGGGCTTTTCACACTTGAAATATTTAACCCTGGGTCATTCTAAACCCCGGGTAAACTGATTCCTGGGTTATCTTGCTTCATGTTTCACACTGCTCATAATATGTACCCGGGGGTTAACAATTTATCCCTGGGTATTCATTAGCTGACATTTCACATCGTACATTCCTAAACCCTGGGTTAACTTTCTTATTTGCATATTTGCGGGGTCAGTGTCATTGATTGGATGAACGCAGCATGTGACCTGTTTACATAAAAGCTCTAACATTGCTGCAAACTTATATTGCCGACTGTACTTTCAAGTTAACTGAATGGATACTTCAGTCTACAAAGGTAAGAGTGAAATGGTCTCTTCTTCACTCAAATTGTCAAGTTTCCTTTCAGCATTTGACATTTTTCCTTTACTGTTTATATACAATGTGTCACACCAGACCCATAAATATGTGTATGTGTCCATGGGTGGTGCAATATGAGCCCGCAGTTGGTTGTCTGTTGCTAAACGTCTAGGTTTAACATTCTAACACCACAACGCATTCTCATCCTTTAACGTCATATAGAACGCTATATGACAAAACGGCGCTATACTACGCACATGGCACCCGTTATCGTTAATATAACACGCGCTGTAAGGGCTAAGTTTAGGTGTGGGGTAGGGTGTGTGTGTCATATTCACGCTAAAGGATTTATAACGTCTTGGGTTCGCGTGTTATATTAACGATAAAGGGTGCCATGTGCGTAGTATAGCGCCGTTTTTGCATATAGCGTTCTATATGACGTTAAAGGATGAGAACAGGCTGAACACCACATCATTTCACACTGTACAAGTTTGGCACAGCAATGCGGGGTTAACACTGAAAAAGTGTTAACTTTTAACCTGCTTCGATGGCCCAGTGGATAAGACACATGCCTTTGGTGTGAGAGACCTGGGTTCGAATCCACTGCGAGACACCAATGCGTCCCTGAGCAAGACACTTAACCCTTAGTTGCTCCAGAGGCGTGTGACCTCTGACATATATAGCAATTATAAGTGGCTTTGGATAAAAGCTTCAGCTAAGTGAATAAACGTAAATGTAAATAACAAGTGTGGAACGTTCCTTTACCCAGGGTAAAAATCGGTATTTAGGACGACGATAACCTGGGGTTAAGCACAGTGTGAAAAGCCCTATTGCCATGTTAAGGTTAAAAGTGTTGTTAAACCTAAACAAATGCTCTGATATACAACTAAGTCATGAAACATGGAAAGGTCAGATCAAAAACAAGTGAAACTTAAATCCAGAACCAAGTCAGTCATAATCGCTCACACACATAGGTCATGTAATAAGATGCAGCAGCTGATCTACTTGGCGAACTGGTGAACTTTATTTACGGTGGGAACTCGATTGGATTTTTAGAGGAGAATGTTAATTTGCTTATGTATTCAGATGTAATCCAGGTCTTGTAATGCCTCAATGAGCTCAGGTAGAGAGTGAAGCTAATGACAAACCAAAAATGATTGTTTGAGACATAATGGATTCTCTCTCCTTCTTCCACTTCCACATTCCCCCTCTCCCTTTGCCTGCCCCAGAGCCATAAGACAATTGACAGGCCGCTAACAGCAAGGAAAGTCCCACTGGAGTCTATTGGCAGAGGAACAAGAAAGCAGCTCACAATCGAATAAGAGCGAGGCGACTTAATGGACTACAATGTGCTGACTGAGTTATTCACTTGCACACTACTCGTTATTATGTGCACTGACTAAAGTCCTTCATTCAGGAGGACACTTCATAGACGGTGTGATGTCACCAGCTATTTAACGTTATACTAGCCAAAAAGTATCATGGGATTTGGACATGTACCATACCGATATCACAATGTCCATAAAAGAAAAGGCCATAGTAGATCAAAGTGGTATTTATTCGGTACCACTGTACTATGCACTTCCATTCAAAAGTTTAGAGTTAGTAAGACTTTTTTTATGTTTCTAAAAAAGAAGTTTCTCATGCTCACCAAGGCTGAATTTATCTGAACATAAATACAGTAAAAACAAAATGTTATAACATTATGTAGTATTATTACAATTCAAATTAAGTTTTCTATTTTTATAAATTTAAAATCTTTTTATATTCCTGTGATGGCGAAGCTGAATTTTTCAGCATTATTACTTCAGTCGCGATTTGGAACTCAAGAAAAATTAAAACATTTAAAACAAACAGTTGTGCTGCTAAATAATTTTGAGGAAATCCTTTCCCTCAGGATCCATTAATAAATACAGAGTTCAAAGGAACAGCATTTATTTGAAATAGAAATCTTTTGTAACAGTATTTACTGTCCCTTTTGATCAAAAGAATGTGTCCTTGCCAAATAAAAGTTCTACCATAATTAAATACAATATGGTTTTACCTAAGGATCCATGATTATAGACAACAACCATACTGATATAATTATTATTGTCATTATAATAATTACAGAATTACTATTGGCATACTTTTTGGAAGAATTATAGATTATTATTAATTACATATATGTGTGAAAAACAAACTCTAATTTATATTTTGAACAAACTGTACTCATAAAGTGAGTGAAAATATGTGACATCATTAAAACAAAATACACAGGAAAACATATGTAAATAGTACATTTTGATGTAAACGGAATACACATAAATTATTGCTGCAATCGTCACTATTCATACTTATTTAATTGCATCAAACATAATCATAATCTGATTATTTATGTAGTAATTAATTAAGCAGGATTAGTACAGTACACCCAACATCTACTGTATATTCGCTTTACCATGGTTTCTACACAGTAACTTTTAGGGGTCTCTATGGGGCCTCGGTAACCTCTTTTCCATAGTCAAGAATGACAGGGATCCAAATAATGCTTAATTTAACCTGTAGCATGAGGAAATAGGCAAACATCAGTTCCATTGTCAAAAATATCATCATGTATTATTATAGTCTGATTAGATAGGTTTGGTACATAATAACAGCCAGGTTACATAAATAATGAGTTATCAACATTCACTCCTGGTACTCTTCAAACGGCAAGTACAAGGTATTGAAACATAGTGCAACACATTTTAATAAGCATTCCCATCTGTTATATGTAATGTTCTGTCCCTCTCAGGAGATGTACTGGAGCTGCAGCCATTAAGAGCTGCCTTACAGTGGGCTGAGGAACAGATCAGAAATAACAGCTCCCTCATCTCTTTCTGCTCCACTTTAATTAAACTAGGGGAATAAAGATAGGCTTTGACATATGTTCAACTTGGCTTTCTGCTGAAACAAAGAACATGTATGGACATGCGCGTGTAAAATGTGAGCATGTATGTCTTTGGTCATTTTTATAGTACCGTGTCTGTTTTTTTTTGCCACAAGAGCAACCACAAAATTGAAGATGATAATACATTATTTTCCGGCCTCAAACCTTTTTCAATTGTAATGCAGCTAGCCCAGAAAAGTAATGACTTATCTCAGAGCCAAGTCAGTAATTAAAGTTCGATAATTTGTTATGAATACGTTTACACATAACACTCAAACAAATAAAGCCCCTTATTCTGGATATATACTACCATTCAATCGATTTTTTATTCAACTAAATCCAAATGTTTTTTTTTTTTTTTTAAACTGACAGAAATACATGTTACAAAAATATTTCATATAGGGATGCACCGATCCACATTTTTTCACTTCCGATCCGATCCCGATACCTGACTTTGGATATCGGCCGATACCGATACTTTTCCGATACCAGACCTGTGTTTGCTTTAACATTATTTATCATTATTGTTGATTTTATATGATGCTGAAATAAACACCTCTCTACAAGCAAGGATGATACGTACGTATGTAGCCTATGTCATATATATATATATATATATATATATATATATATATATATATAATAGATATATTAAACAATAGATAGACAATTAAACAAAGATATACGCATTATACAGGCCTACACAGTGCTTTAATTTCAGGAAGGTCTACTAACATTATTCAGGTATATCGTCTAAAAAGAATTATAATAAAGTAATCAAAAGTAAAATAGCACTGCAAAGTTTATCATAGATAGATTTATGCTTATTAAAACTGAAGTTATTCATTCAAGAGCTGTGAGTGATTTTCTCTTTGCCTTTGGTTGTTTTATTCTCAGTAATGTCGCAATCGTCACATTTATACTGCTGCCCCTTTACGAACTAGTGCGGATTACATAGTCTACTGATGCACCATATTTTCTCCCAACTATTTCCATAAACCGTTTATGTCTAAAATGAACGTAGTTAAGTGATAATCTCCAAGCCGGTCGTTTTGACATTTTTGTGCAGGCTACATTTGATCGTTTAGACGCGCATATGAAGCCCAAAGTATAATTTGCTTGTCTGTTTCGGAGCGCGCGCCGCCCTCTTGCGCAAATTTTGTGCTTTTAATAGCTCTTTTTATTATTAAAAGCGTCCCGCAATTTAGCAACAGCAGAGACGGCATTTCACAACAATTACCGATCGTGCTGATTCTGTCTTAAAGTTTGAGTTTTACGGAGAAATGACAGTGCACCGCCGCGATGGGAAGGGAGTTGGCTACACAGAATGCGGCTATTGTTTAATGTTTTTTTTTTTTTTACCTCAATATATTCTTTAATCTTTGGAAATCAGACTAATATCACATATCTAAAGTGTAACCAGGCTATGTTTTCTCTGTCGTCACTGATTAAGCAGGGCTGTCGTGTTGTGCGTGCTGTGGCACCGCGTGAGAGATCTCTCTCTCTTTCTCTTCTGGACTGCGAATTGCAAACATGCATCACAGACAAATAGTTTAATTTATACGGCTTTGCAAACATTGCATTTTGCTGTCTTGCTCTGCTGCGGTGTTTCCAGTGTGAAGTATTTCCACCATAGGATTTCCCCACAGCGAACATATTGGTAGCTCAATGCTATCCTGCTAGCTGGCTGCAAACTGCGGAATGGATTTCTTGAGCGGGCGTCTGTGTCTCATTGAGCCCTATTTTTTACAGTCTATGATTGAGCTGCACCTCCGTTCAGGATATCCATTCCACAGTTTGCAGCCAGCTAGCAGACTAGCAGCCCCGGGGAATCCCTTTTGGAGTCATTTCAGCAGCCAACGTTAAAGCGCAGACATGGATCATAAATATCGGATTTCTCCGCAGGTTGGATCGGAAAAATCCGATACGTGAATTACGCTGGTATCGGTCCCGATACCGATACTGGATCGGATCGGCCCCATCCCTATTTTCATATAAATGTTGTTACTTGAGCATTCTATTCATCATGGAATCCTCATTTAAATGCATGTCAAAAAAGCAGCAGCAAAACAGTTTTTGACATTGATGATAATAATAAGTATTGTGATATGGAAACTGAAATCAGGTTTGCCATCATAGGAATATATACAATTTTTAAATAGAAACTTAAATTAAAATAGAAAACAATTGTAAATTGTAATAATATTTCACAATATTACTGTTTACTGTATTTTGATGAAATAAATACTGTCTTGGAATTACAGACTTTGTTCAAAAACATTTAAAACATATACCCGACTCAAAACATTCAAGCGATAGTGTAGCTTAAAGACTTGTAGATTTCAGTTGACTACAAGTTATTGACAGTACCTGAAGTGGTTGTTTTTGAAGATGACCTCGCTGTAGGCCAGAGCCAGAAGCCTGGGGCTTGCCTGAGCTGCTCCCCGACTTTCAGCCACCTTGCTTAGGTGTCGGGTCAGATGAACCAGGAGCTGGTGGTTAGCCTGAGGCACACTGGGGGAGTCAAGGATTCTTTTCAGCTGCTGTCCACACTCCTCTATGCTTTGGGTCTCTGAAAGAATTGACAAGATGAATATTGATAAGTTATTTTCAGTACTTCAAAGTATATTATAATCCTAAAGGGCAATTTTTAGCGCTTTTTTTTTTTTTTTACCATATCATTCAAAAAACACAAACAAAACAAACAGCATACACAACATTCTGGCATCTTACAAGTTTAAAAGACTTACAACAGTTGAAACAAAATAATGCCTATACTGTTTGCTTTTAAATTTAGGCATACTATAACGAATAGAAAAGGAAGCATTGGAACATCTTACTATCTTGGTTGACATGGACACTCGATAAGTTTGGATGATTAACATTTACATCACCATACCAACAGTATGTAGAAAAGCCAAGTACAGATTCAATATAAGATTTATTGCACATGGTCATAAGAGTCATACTGATATTAAGTAGATTAAGTAGAGAGCCTCCGAAGACAGTGTAACCTGGCCTTTCTTTCATACTGCTTCACTATAAGTATTGAAACACAACTTTTTTCAATGAAAAGTCCAAGATACATATAACTCCCAGCCCATTCCACCATTTGACCTTTCACTACTAGTTGGTTGAGGAGCCAAACTTTTTTTTTTTTTTACGTTTCCTTGCAAAAAGGCACTGTCACACCATGTCATAAAATCCTTCACCAGTCCATCAAAAGCTATTCAAAGGTATCAGTGCATTTGAATCTCAAATATTTTGGGAGTAAGGCTATATTAATGTTTCTTTTTCTGATTCCATTTGAAGATTCCCTTTCAATAAATAATTTCTTCAAGAAAAGGGAGGGATTTCAAGTGCTGATGTGATTAGAATTAGATTATGCCAATGTAATAATAATAATAATTTAATAATTCAAATACTTTTAAGTAATCCTGGGGCCTCCTTGGAAGATTGCTGAGCCCCCCTAGCGGACCCCGGTCCCCTGGTTGACCACTTTTATAGAGGTATTCAAATGGTTATGATCTGATAGCACCAAAACAAACCAAAGCCCTTACTGAAAATCTTGATCTGTGATGGGAAAGGCAGCAGACAGAGAACAGAACGAATTCTGGTAAATTATTTACAATAACATAAAATATTTGAGATTGAAATGCACTAATCCTTTTGAACAGTCGTCACTGCATGAGATGATGCAGTAACAAAATCTACCAGCAGGGAGAAACAGGCTAATCATCCCGTGTTTCTAATAATATAGGTGGAACTCAAACAGCACCAAATGACATTATAGGGCACATAAAAACACAAAACCCATGTCCTGGGACTGGGAAGTCAGCTAAGCAGGAGTTAAAGTGCTAGCCAAACATTGCCCTCGAGTATATTGTCTATGAGCGCCCACAAGGACAATGCAGTTGTTTCGACAGCTTCCAACATATTGATGAGCTCCTTTGAGATGGGGTTTCCCACAGCAAAGAGGCTAGCATCTGTGATTCAGGCTTATTTAAGCTAAAGTGGACCCTGGTGGCACACCAAAGATATGAACATTTCATCCCCAAGTCCCTCACACTCAATGAATATTTGTCTTCATCAGCCAAAGGAACAGGTATCTGGATATCAATGCAAAAACATCAGCCAGTCTAGAAAGAAATAAGGGGGAATTCACTAAGAATAAAATGATGATACCTCGGCTATTCATAATACATGCCTGGCAATAACTCTTGTCACAATCATTTGACAAATAACTGCCACCATGACTGAGAGAAAAGGTACACTACATCTCTTTTAAACAAAATTTTCTTTACTACCTGCTTACATGCAATGTTCAAATACTCCAAACATGAAGGAATTGAATTTATAGAGATGCAATACGTGATATGTTGATTCTAAGCCACGTATTCTATTATGAATGACATGAACTAACAATACAGCATTTGTCACCAAACAAATATAACATTTGATTTTAATCATGTATTAGTAAACCTTGAAATTAACATTAACTAAGATTAATAAAATGCTGTATAAGTATTGCTAAAGGATTAGTTCACTTTAAAAAAAAAAAAAAAAAAAAACTATGCTGATAATTTACACACCCCCATGTCATCCAAGATGTCCATGTCTTTCTTTCCTCAGTCAAAAACAAATGAAGGTTTTTGATGAAAACATTACAGGATTTTTCTCCATATAATGGACTTCAATGGTCCCTAACCGTTTCAAGGTCCAAATGACAGTTTCAGTGCAGCTTTAAATGGCTTTAAACAACACCAGACGATGAATAAGGGTATCTAGCGAAATGATCAGTCATTTCAAAATAAATAAAAACGTTTAAGTTTTATATGCACAAATGCTCGCCTTGCTTTGTTCTGTGATACACGTTTGTGACTCTCCTGTTCAAACTCATTCATCAAAATGAACAAATCTTTTTTTTCGAGTCATTTCAGTAGCACCTCATTGCAGTACACAAGACCCAGGGGACGGAGTAGGTTTAAGGGTGGGTTTAGGGATCAGGGGTGGAGCTGGGTAGGTTTAGGACCTAAACCAGGTATATATAATGTGGGAGGAGTTGGATCTGGATTCGACTCCTCCCTGTGGATTTCAAGTCCAGCAGTGAGGACCATCCAAGTCGTTTCATTCATTTTGTTCATTGAATGAACGAAATGACTCGAAAAAAGATTCGTTCATTTTGATGAACGAGCTCGAACAGTAGAGTCGAAACAGTTGGGGTCCATTGAAGTCCATTATATGCAGAAGAAATCCTGTAATGTTTTCATCAAAAAACTTAATTTCTTTTCGACTGAAGAAAGAAAGACATGGACATGTTGGATGACATGGGGCGAGTACATTATCAGCAAAAGTTTTTTTTTAAAGTGAACTAATCCTTTAATTCTTATTTCATGTTAACTAAAATAATTAACTAATGTTAACTTATGAAACCTTATTGTAAAGTTTTACCTATGATTCTAAGCCACCAAAGTATATATGATGTATATGTAATAGATTTAATAATAAATATATTATGTTATAATGTTTAAATAAATAAAAGAAAAAAAGCATTGTCAACTATAATTCTAAGCCAAAAACAAGTACATATTTTATGATTTTATATTACATTTAAATAAATACAAATGTATATGTTTAAATACATAAAACAAATGTTTTTATATTTTTGTTTTTGTGCTCATTGACAACAAAAAAGTGTCATACAACAAATCACAACTAGTAAAAATCAACACATACATTCACTATAAATCATATTATTGTATAGTCAGTCAGCTTTATTTATCCTTAAGATGTACACATTATTTTCTCATTTCCCTTTCATTTTTGAAGTAATAGTAACAGTCATCATTCTATGTCAAGGGTGTCAGCTTGCAGATAGGCCAGTCCTGCAATACATTCAGTAAATCACAACACATTCAATGATTACTGCCTAAAAGCTGCTTTCACACAGACTGAGTACCCTGCCAAATGTATTTCCTGCATGAATTATGACCATGAACAAAGCCATTAAGGTGTTGGCTGGTTAAGGCGCTTCTGCCATAGTGCTTATAGAAGATAAGTGCAGAGAGGCCAAAGGTTATGAGCAGTGGGTGGCAGGTGGCAGGGGGTCGAGTGATGAATGTCTGACAATCTGCCGATCAGAAAACGGGTCATTACTTTGACCTTGGCCTGGGCCTGGGACTCACTGACCATTGATACAAGAGGGCTTCTATCAGCAAGTTATATGCATGCACTCAGTAATACATGCACAGACACAGACACCCATGCCCCCCAATCTGGAGCCGGACGGTCCCACAACGTGCTGCCTCCTGGAGATTACCAATAGAGACTGACCCCTGTTCAATAAAGGCCAGCGTCATGGGCTGTAGGCCACGGCTGGGAACTTGGCCGAGTCCATCTGGACTCAGCACGACACAACCGAGGGAAGGGGAGCCCTGCAGACAGCCAATCACATTCCTGGAAGAGGGCACACTGGCTACTGGCCAGCCAGATTGGAACCAGTGCTGAAGGCATGAGAAATACCACTGAGTAATGTTCTTAAAATGAGACTTAGACACTCAACGGTACTTAAAAACACTAAATGGTGTCAGATCTAGCCGAAAAAGGACCTTTTGCACTTTTCTTCTACTAAGTAAAATTGTCATGCTTTAGGAAGCAATACTTTGCTGTTTCACGTTATATTTAAAGCTTGAAATGAATTGTATTTTTCTACCCTTAAGTCATGCATCATGAAACTCATGGAGCTTTGGATAACATGGTATTTAAAAAATGGATGGATCTTGAATTGGTTTGTTGATTAAATCACGGATATCAAACAAAAGCATGCCTGATTTCACAATTAAATGGATTGTATCCAGGAAAGAGGGAGGTAGGATTTGGCATTGTTAATATCACCCCATGACAAAGGGACTTTCCAGAAAAGCTTATTTGCCATAATAGCCCATTGATTTTTTTAGAATGGTTAATACAAAAATGCTGAATATGCCATATGGCAAATCCTACAGAGACTTAGCATTATAAGATTTGAAGACACACTGACCCGATACAAAATGTATTAATGTCCCAAGTACATTATAGTGAGTCATTGTCTTGATTTTTGTTCACTGCATCACTAAACACACACACACACACACACACACACACACACACACACACACACACACACACACACACACACACACACACACACACACACACACACACACACACACACATATATATATATATATATATATATTTAAAATTAGTTAGTATGATGTAATATTTCACTTGAGATTTTGCAATTTGTTTAAGTAACTCACATAACAGCGCCAGTATATCTGAAGACGGAAAATGTAACTACTAGGTGTATAAAACAATCAAACATGTTACTATTGCATAATCTAAATGGAACTAATTAAACTGCAATTCGACTTTCCACTCTAAGGGAAGTAACCAATCATAAAACAAACAAACAAACAAAAAACCCAATCAAGACATTATGAAGTGAATGATTTGTTAAGTTTTTAGAAGATTGCAGATGGACAATATTGCAGATCGAAGGCATGAACCATAGATAAATGGAATGCCAAAAAGGTAAGAAAGTCAATTATTAGTGGAAAATATAGTGGAAACGTAACTATTAAATATTAATAAATTAAATATTACTTAATCAATATATTTAAGGATATAAATTTGACGGTAAGAATTCTCAGGCATTAGAAACATGATGTAGCATTATTCACAGAGGGTGCTTACATAATTTGGTTTGTCCTTACAAAGTCAAACAACACTTTTGAGCATCCAAGCATATCTAAAAGATGGGGCAGACTCTGTGTACGCTTGTTTCATTTTCAGTAGGAGTAAGAAGCAGTGAGAAGTCAGAGAGAGATGGTGTGAACCTACCCTCCGGCATAGTAGCGCCCCCTCTAACACACGCACACACACACACACACACACACCCTCTCTCTCTCTCTGCCTCTCTCTTTCTATCAAACTACTTTTGTTCTAGGCCTCTCTCAAGCCTCTTTCTGCCCACTGAACATTTAACATTTATATAGTAAAGAAGACAAACACACCCACCCAATTTAGTTGTGCATTTTAAACATTTCAATTCTTACATAATTTACTCACCAGCATGCATTTCAAACTTTGAAATTTGAAAAAATGTACTGAATGGCAATGTTAAAGAATGGCCACTGAGGCAATGAAAAAAGGCAATGAAAAATGTATCATAAAAGTGATGCCATTCATTATTCAGTGAAAATGTACTTAAATACTAGATTTTATTGGCAAGTTTAAGTTGATGAGAGATGCCATTCAGCGTTCTTTAGAGTTGTATCTTTTCAGTGACTTTCCATTTCTCAAGTTCAATTCACTCAATGAGACTCAATGAGCAGCTATTGCATGATTTTTGAAGATTTAGAATCAGGGCTGGCCAGTGGCATAGACGGTTGCTAAGCAGCCTCAAACGAAAGCAAATAATCAAAAGAGTATAAAGAAAGCAAAATTATAATATCGGCGAAACTTATTTGCCAAAGTTCCAGTGGGAATTTGTGATTGAGCTCTGGAGAACGTCAAAAGTTTCTATTTGTTTTAGCAGTGTTGAACAATGAAGCCAATCACAGGCAAGTCTGTTGATCTCTTGAACAAATGGCCAATCAGAGGTGTTTAAGTCAGAATTCACTCACTGCACAAAACGCCAATAAGTTCTGCACAAATGCTCTTGATATAACAAACAAAGTGAAGACACAATGTAAATAAGAGATTCAATGTGCAGTGTATAGACAGTTTCATCGATTATAACGGAACTTTGTGAGATTGCGATGAACTGAGATGAGTGACAACTTTTTAGTGATTTTAAATGGATCATTCTTTGTTTATGTTTATGGCAATTAACATAATTTTAGTACAATTACAATATGTTCACTATAACAAAGCTAAAAATCTACGAAAAAGAAAGACCTTAATAGTAGCTAATGTAAAAGCGTCAAAATTAACAAAATCACAAGTTAACAACTCTTCATGGCAGACATTGATGTTTGTATATGTGGCAACAGGGTGAGGGCGAGAGCCGTGAGAGAACGGCGCGAGGCCGGTGGCGATTGATAATGAGCGTCCAGCCTTGTATCTCATGGATGAGCCATGGAAGCTTAAAATGACGAGTGACGACAGTGAAGGACAAGAGAGGACCAGGCCTGGACATTTATGTTATGTTTTGTTTATGGTTGTGCGGCAGTTGTCCATATATATATATATACTGTATACAGTATGTATATATATATACATATATATATATATATATATATATATATATATTAGGGCTGTCAAACGATTAATCGGATAAAAGTTTGTGTTTACATAATATGTGGGTGCTCTGTGTGTTATTATTTAATATATATATAAATACACACACATGCTTGAATATGTTTAAGAAATATTTTCATGTATATACTGTATATAGATTTATATATAATTTATATTTTATACAAATATACATATTTTATAAATAATATTTTTTTTTCTTAACTATACATGCATGTGTGTTTATTTACATATATATACAAAATAATTATACACAGTGCACCCACATATATTATGTAAACACAAACTTTTATTTTGGATGCGATTAATCACGATTAATCGGTTGACAGCCCTAATATATATATATATATATATATATATATATATAAATTGTGGTGTTTACATGTTTGGTGTTCAGCTTACCCTGAGCAGTGTAGACCAGCTCACTGTACACTACAGCTGGGATGAGTGGGCAGGGTAATTCCTGAATGTAACTCCTAAGAGTACCAGCCAAAATGGACAGTTCATATTGCTCAAACTCCACTTCTGCTGGGTCTGAGAAAGAGAGAAAGAGAGGGGGAGAGAGAGAGATAGAATGGTTAATTAAAGGCTCCCAGGGTGCTTTCCCCATTATTTACCCTTCCAAACCATGTGCCCTTGGCAAAACCCTATAACGATTCACTTACAGTGGTGGTCAGATCCCCTGACCATTCCTGCCCCCTCCGGGAACAACGACCCAGTCACAAGCTTAACAAAGAGTAAATTTGAGTGGAAGTCTCCCGGTCAATAACTCAAAGCCTAGGATAATGGCAGCTTGAAAGACTGCAATTATACAGTAGTAATTTTAAAGGTCCCTTCATTGTGCTGAAATTATAATGGCATATTGATGTATTGGAAAGGTGTAAAAGGCACTGACAGAACTCTCACATATTCTAGATCAGAGCATTTTCATTTATAGTTTGGGTATAACGGCATATTCGTAAATACTTTCCTACTGTTCAATCCACAATGCCTGCAGAATGTTGGGCACTGAAACCCCATTTTTAGGAAGTGAACAATGTAGGAAAATATGTAGAGCTCAGAAGCATGTGAGTAAAAATGACACATTCATTGCACATGTTGGATATCAGGATAAAACTATGAATATAATTTTGAGCTACCCATCTTTAGCATCTAGTTATTGAGACTTCAGCTTAAAAAACACAAATTCACAAATCATTCTGATTAATATCTCCTTTCTGTACTTAAAAGGAAGAGTACTGTAGTTGGTAAGGTAATAAGGTAACCCCCATCATGTATTTGTCAATAGTGTTTTAATTAAACTTGGTTTATTATGGCTATGATGTATTTTTTCCATCTCATCCTTGAATGAATGAATGAACCTCTTAAATCATTTACTGCTCTCCAACATCCCATGCCATTTTAATACAAGAAAAGTGTCTGACGCCTACGGATAAATTGTAACTGCATTGATCGCCCCTCTGACTAATTGTAAAATAAAGTTTCCCTGCAATCAGGTTCCAGTGAAATCAGAAACCCATTAAGCTTTGCTGATGACCTTTTCTCTCTAAATGTGATTAGTTTGTTGACTTGCCATTATGCCTGCTTTCAGTGGAAAGCTTGGAATTCAATATGAACCAGGTAACTAATACAAACTGCTTGGGAGGGACCTTCAATGACAGATGAAACTATAAAAAGACCTTAAAAAAACCTAAAGAGCACATATCACAGTAACAGAAAAAAAAAATAAATAAACAGAACATTATGTGTTGAGAGTCTCTGCAGTTTAGTGTAGTATACAATGATTATAGTGTAAATACATTTTTTCCCAAAAATACTTTGAACAATTAAAAACTGAGAACATAAAAATGAATAAGAATTTTAACTATTTATAGGTCACTAATAAAATGCATGGGGGAAATAAAATGCAATCTTGAAGCTTTTTCTAAAAGCTGAACTTTTAAATGTAACAACATTTTAACTCTAACATAAAAGTAGGCAAAACCGTCTTACTTCCATCCGATTTTTCAAAAGATGAACAAATTGTCTAGCCATCATGTTGATTGCTCTTCTAAAAATATGCAATTTATCAAGCTACTATATAAAACAGTGTTCATTAAACACATGGCCGGCAAGATTAGTGCAGGGATAACCCAAGTCCCCCTCTATCACAGAGGAACAGTCATGCGAGAAACTACCACCTATTGATCACAGTTTCTCAATGAATCCCATTTACTTATCGCAATGTCCATTCTGAGCTTCCACATGTATTTCTTATTTTTCTAATCATCCTGACAGTGGATGCCCATCTACTGATCTTAAATATCTTACCTGCCAGTGGCCCAAATTGATTGTTTCCCCCTGCTTGGCTTGATTCATATGTTGAAGTGTGGTTTTAAATGCCCAGCTTGTAAAGTGTCTAATCCAGTATAAACAGATTTACCCAAGTCATCAAGAAGCTTGTGCCCAATCCCTGTCTCTCCATTCATTCATTTACATGCCTATCAGTTAAACTCATTGTCAAATTCAGTTCTCAAAGCTGTCTAGCCTAAAACTATTGATCTGCCAGGCCTTTGTTTATTGTGCCTAGCACCATATGTTGGTCACCAGGACACATAATCATTTATGATCATTTTGGCTTTACCCCACTCTCAACATTGACCCCAAAGTACCTGATTAAAACGTGTAAAGCGATGTCACATGGTGAAGGACCAAAAGGTTGTGATAATAACCTTCAGGCTAGTTTTTAGAGGTTGGTGCTGTAAGTTAAAAGCCTTGAAACGAGTCATCAACATGATCCTTTGGGTAAAGGTCACTACTGGCTCTGGATAAAGCTGCCTCAGCTGGTCATTATCTGCTGTTAAAATTTTACAGATGGCTTAGTCCCTGTGGAAGCGCTGACCTACAAATCATAGCATGCGCTATGGAGGAAAATAAAGGTGTAAAGTATAGTGGTCCAAAAAGCAGAAATATATACACACACATATGGTTTTACGTATCAGGACATAATAAAAAAAAAACATTAAATCATTAGGTAAATGCAACCTCAGATGAACATCACATGACATACTGTATTTAGACCGTATATTAAGGTCTTAAGGTCCCGCCACAGCATTTCAATGGAGTTGAGGTTTGGACTCTGACAGGGTCAATGCAACACCTTGCTTCTTTTCTTTTTCAGCCATTCTGTTGTAGATTTGCTGGTGTGCTTGGGATCATTGTCCTGCTTCATGACCCATTTTGCCCAAGCTTTAGTTGTCAGACAGATGGCTTCACATTTGACTCGAGAATACTTTGGTATACAGAGGAGTTTATGGTCAACTCAGGTCCTGTGGCTGCAAAACAAGCCCAAATCATCACCCCTCCATCAACATGTTCGACAGATGGTGATTGTGCTGATATGCTGTGTTTGTGTTTGGCGCTGTGCATCATGTCCAAACATCTCCATTTTCGGTTGCATCTGTCCAAAGGACATTGTTCCAGAAGTCTTGTGGTTTGTTCAGATGCAACTTTGCAAACCTAAGCAGTGCTGCCATGTTCTTTTTAGAGAGAAGAGGTTCTCCTTTTTAGGAGTTGGCAACTGTTCTAAACGTTTTCCACTTGTGAATAATCTTCCACACAGCATTGTTGATCTCTTTCCTCCGTGGCATTGTGTTAACACACACCTGAATGCTCCAGACCAGCAAACTGACAAAAACTTCTGCTTTTATAGAGGTGGTCATGTTTGCCTGTGATCAACTAATCAAAGGCATTTGATTAGTAGTGCCTGACTGCTGCTTTCTCTATTAGTTCCAAGGGAAGCAGTAAAGCCCTGTTAAAGACTACGAATGACTTTGTTGCAAGTCGCCAGTGGCTGTGCTGGAGGGCGTTCCCACGACTGGTTGCCTAGTAATGTTTGTGAGTGACATTTACTCTATGTTAGACAACAAATACGTTTTCTTGCTGCGCAAACATCTGGGTTCCCAAAACCAGTCAGTACGGTGAATACCACTGTATATACACAGAGATATATCAGAAATTATAGGACAGTTTCTGACTGCTAAAATGAGCTTCTCGTTCAACTTGCCTCGGTCAGACTCAGCACTGAAGTGTGACACGCTCCACTGACTTCACTCCTATTGGTTGTCGCTCCCGAAAGTCGCTCTTCATTTGCATAAAGTTAATCAGATCTCAACTTTGTTGCACCGCCAGACATGCCCCATCGCTGTCGCTCCTGTCGCTCGAAATCGCCCGCTCCCCATTGAAATGAATGGCATGTTGTGCACTTTTGCAGCCACACTCTTGCCTGGAGCGAATCTAATTTACTCATTTACATAAACTACATAATAAACAGTTATAAATCAACTAATTTGAAACTCATGGTCTATACCTGTTGAATAACATAGAACAGCAGTGATCAGATTCAGCAATCACCCTCGTGTACATTCTATAATGGAGGTGCACATTAAACTTAATACAATATATATAACAGTGGCACGAACACAAATCAAATAACATACATCTAAACACACGTTTAACCCATAAAATGGTTATGCATTTATCACAATATGTTTTACCAACGCATTCTCATCCTTTAGCGTCATATAGAACGCTATATGACAAAACGGCGCTATACTACACACATGGCACCCGTTATCGTTAATTTGACACGCGCTGTGATGGGTAGGTTTGGGTGTGGGGTAGGGTAGGGTAGTCTCATATTACGCTAAAGGATTTATGACGTCTTGGGTTCGCGTGTTATATTAACGATAAAGGGTGCCATGTGCGTAGTATAACGCCGTTTTGTCATATAGCGTTCTATGTGACACTAAAGGATGAGAACAGGCTGGTTTTACTCATGGAGCACTCACTCACCACAGCCATTCACTCGCTTGGCTAGCACAAATCTAATTGACCCTACCGGAACCAGTTCATCCTACTACCAGATCTGGGCGGACAGTGCGATTTAAAGGGGCCATACATGAAAATAAATGTAGCAAGTCGAAACACATTTTTGTTATATTTAAAATTATTTAAATAAATCCTCTCAAACAGTTAACCATTATTGTATTCAGCAACCATAAACTGCACCTTAGTTCATTTGTGGTCCTTCCCTGGTTTATTGAAGGAGAAATGTCAAATGATCAAATTATAGTCAGTGAAGTTTTCACATCAAATCTAATAATCAAGATTAAAGCTAATGGAATGGTCCTGATAAAATGCCCGGAAAATGTGGATAGGTGAAACAGTAGTGCTTTTTATGCCTAAGGGAATTAGATTCACATTATCTCATCTTTCACTCAGCTGTGCCATGCTGGCAACCCAACTCACAATAGTAAAAGCTGTGACTGTGTTGCATAAAAAAGGAACAGTTGTCAAAAAAATCACTGGCCTCTAAATCAAAAAGCACCATGGAGAATAGTGATGAAATTAGTATACGTTTGCTCTGTGGTTCTTACAATTCCTTCTTGTCAGGCGAAAGAAAGGTGTTTTTTTGTTGTTGTTTTTTTTTTTTGCCTCATATTAGCCTGTTGTTCGGCCTGTTGTAAATAACACTAAGATGTCTGCTGACATTC